AGCAGGGAGATGGGTCTCCAATTATCAATAAAGAGTAAGTCTTTGTTTGGTTTTGGAATAAGTGTTATGAGACCTTGAGTAAGAGGAGGGAGGGTGTTATTCTCTATACTTTCTGTAAAAATCTGCAGTAAAAACGGAGCCAGGAGATTAGAAAATGATTTATAAAACTCTGCAGTCAAACCGAAAAGAGATATTATAGCAGAGGTACGTATAGGAACCAATTCCCTACATCGTTTATTTTGTCAGTGCTCTTTAGGCGGTGGAACCACTCACCGGAAGTGGACTGTCATTCCGATTGTGTCCTTGTTAGCTAGTTAGCCGCCACAACGGGCAAGCAAATGTGTGTTGTTTGGGAAGATGAATTAAACTGTACCTAAATAGTGAATCTGAACGACATCTCCGTGGAGCTGCTTTAACAGCATCATGCTGCGTGTCGGGAGCAGAGCTGCCTGGTGAGTTTGCATTTAATGAAGGTAACAGAAGCCAGGGTTAGCTACGGTGTGAGGAGAGCACATATGAAGCTGCTTCCTCTGACAGCTCAGGACGGCCGACCTGGTTCTGTGTAGATGACAGCAGCCCCATGTCATAGTAAGAAAGATAAAGGACACATATTATAGGAGTTATCACGGCTGTCTACGTGTGGAGTGCGTTTGGTTTATGTTGCCGGTGCTACTGCAGCATTAACGTTACCCTAGCATAAACCGGCTAAAAGTCTAGCTCGGTCGCTGAGTGTGTACAGCAGCTGCGTTATTTAAAAACAAAAACGATAGATTGACAGACCCCTGTTAACTGTGTCTGTACACTTAGTTAAGTGATTTATTGTAATAAACTGGGTTGTTTATAACGTTCAATGTCAAACCTGAAAACGTGTGCCATCTGCTTTCCTGCGTGTTGCTGCAGTCTATTGGGGCTACCTTGAACAAAAATGACTGCTTTTGTAACTGTTCTGTGGAAATGAGGTGTCTTTATTTTTTTCATCCACACCTCATCTCAGCGTGGCCTGCAGGAACCTGGTGGCCAACAACATGGGGGTGAGATTTCGGATACCCTTGCAGAAGCTGCACCCTCTCTCCCGTGCTATCCATCACCGTTACTCTGGAAACGGCAACCCTCAGCGCCCTCCTCATCGCACAGCAGCCCGCTATTTCACCTCCATGTCTCGGTTGCCCATGCGGCCGCCGAAGCCTCACCCGGGCTCTGGGGGCCACGGGTACCAGCAGCAGCGCAACTTCTGGGTGGCTCGCCTTGCTGCTCGGTTGCTGAAGCTCAGATATATTCTGCTGGGGAGTGCAGTGGGAGGAGGGTATACAGCTAAGAAGGTCAGTGTGGAGTGTTGTGCTTTGCTTGTCATGTGAGATGCAGGAAAACTGTTAAACATACTGAAGCGGTGATG